ATGATGTGTTTTTATTATAGATATGAAATTTATATTATGAAGACAAAACTTATTTGTCTTTGAGACTAATTTTCATTTAATTATCAACACATCTATTTGATCGTTGAAACGTACAAAATATCATATAGTATTTTTAAAATTACAAATATTAATATATTCATTTATTGTATTTTTAATTTTAATGATTACGATTATATGTAAGTTATTGAATAGAAAATATTAAATATAATATTACTAATATTTAATATTAAACGTAATCGTAAAATCTAAAGTAACATCAAATATTCATCAAAATTTCAAAAATTCTTCTTTTTATCACAATTAATAGTTAATTTTAAAAATTACAAAAATTATAGTATCCATGTGAAGTAGTATTTGTTAATTTATATTCTTGTTGAGTATTTCAAATATTACTCTACTAAATTATATAAATCTTAACATACAAACTTATAAATCCTGAATAAGCAAAGAAAGGTCGTTAAGATATTTTTTAATTCATTTTAATATTATAATTCGGATTTTTATGTAATGTATGTATAAATGTAATTACAATTTTTCCATATAAATCTATCTATGCTTAAATTATACTCCGTAGATAAAACATACGTTTCTCTAGAATATCACTAGCAAACTCAATAATTAAATTTGCTATATAAACACGTTTAACTAAATAGATCAAAAGAATAATCAAATAAAAATATCTTTCAAATTAAATATTATATCCATTAAAATTGATTTGATATATAAATATTATTTTTTAATAAATTAATTATTTTTTTAATAACTTAATGTTCTAATCACATTGATATTTAATCCCCTTGATTCATAATTTGTCCATATATTTTAATTGTTTAGTTTTATAATTAGTGCTTGGAATCGAAACGATTGTAACACAATGAATAACCCCAACAGTATTTTTCTACAGCTACTTCATGTATTTTATCATTGCCGTTATTTCAAGATAGTTTTATGTTTATTTTATTTATCATAAGTTTGGATATGATATGAATACGATATTGGTCAATATATAACGCAATTAAAATAAAAATCATGTAAATACTATATAGTCTTAATAGTAATTCAATAAATAGCCTTTCAGTTTTAACCACACGCCAATAACATCGACATGCGGTTAACGAGCCACATTGAAGATTCACAATTAAATCAAGTATAAGAGTATACGAGTACACATGAAAGAGTATAAGTATTATATAAATTTTTTTATGACGCTCTTTTCGACGAAACTTGTATCTAACACATGACAGATGAATTGCAGCATCGATACCTGAAATTATGAAATAAATAATCCTATGATGAATAAAAAAAATATATATATATGCAACGTATCGTCTTACGTAATTACGTGCATAAGTTTTTTTTATTTTCGACTGTATCCTGTTCTCTTTCTCTCTCCAATCTATATAAATTTTATCTTTTTGTGCAAGGGCAAGAGCAGATACAAGAAGAAAAGCACAAGTAATAAAGAAAATGGTCAGTGTTAACAGAATTTATATATATATTGTTCGGAATACGATCACAGTCATTCATTCACATTTCCAGTGTATTATTGTAAATTAAAAAAAATATTTTATTGAAAGTATGGAAGTAAAATTGTGAAGTTAAAATTTCCATAGAATTATACAATTTAGTTTCAAATTATTCCCATATATCTGATGAATAAATCGACTTTTTAAATTACGTATTTTATCGAATTTAAAAAAACAAAAAAGTTACAACTTTGTTTAATTACGCTTTATCGTATCAAGCTTAAAAATCATTTAAATTTTGTGTTTAAAGTTTTTCAAATTTTAACAATCGTCAAGTAATAACTAATTTTATAGAATTTTTATATTAATTCAATACTTTTGTAACACCAAATTGCTATGGTTTTCTGTAATTTTAAGCATCATCTTTTAGATATATATAAATATATATATATATATATATATATATATATATATATCTATTCTTTTTTATTATGAATTTGTTATATTTAATATAATGACCGTAAACATTCAGTTCTAAATAAATTATTCGTTTTAAATGACTATTATTTCAGCAGCATTTGCTGATTAAATATGCAAATACATACACTCATCATCAAAATGAATTTTGACAATAAAATACTTCACCAGCCCAATATTACAAAAGAATTGCGTACAGTTAACAGCAAGTTTATGGCTATGCAATTCATCAAACGTTTCAATTCCAATTTTAATAATATGTAACTAGTACGAAATGGTCAGTTGATATATATAAAAGTAATTTATTCAAAACTTAATTATCACTTGTCACACCTTTTCTGCCAATATAGATACGTAGCAATATTTTCTCAGTGAAAGTTTGAAAACACTCTCCTTTTTTTATTGTAATAGATACTGTATATATTATGGTTAGGTATTATTTCTTTTTATTTGATTTTTTATTTATTTAAGAGTATGTATTAATGTAAATTTTCATAAAATAAGATTATTTAAAATCACTTTTAGTGACTTTAAAATATACTTTATTGACATGTATAATTAAATTGGTATTAACTAAAAAATCTGTTACGTACAATAATAATTGAATAAAAATAATTTATAAATATCTCCTATTTATATCGTAAATATACAAATATTAATTTCCATATATATATATATATATATATATATATATATATATATATACATATATATTTATAGTATAATTATAATAGTATGTGTATAACCAAATAATGTAAATTCCAAAAAACAACAAACAATAATCAAATCTCCATTAGTAGCAAACCTTTGATTACACATAACATTAAAGAAAGAGTAAAAAATTATAATGTAAAATTTATTCCTGACTTAAATAAGCGTTGCCTATCTTTAAGAAATTATTCACGCATTTCTCGTGCGTACTACCATTTAGCTCCTCTCCCCCTCTTCTCCGGCCGTCTTTATCAGTTTTCTACCAGTCGAGCACAAGTATAATTGCTTAGAAAGCCCCGACCAACGTGATTCATCAAATTGAATGTGCAAAAGCGCGCCAGGGATTCTGCAGAACTCGCGACGATTAACGTCCAGGAAATCGATCAGCTATGAGATCGTAGGCCGAGTTGTCCGTCTAGTGCGATCGCGATCCCGATCGATCATCATTAAAAGGACATATAACATAACTGACACGATCGTGCGAGATTCTCTGTCTAATATTAATTTCTATTTTCTTTATTACAATGCTAGTCGTATTATACTAGGCACTTTACAATTGCCCGACTGCCAGTAAGTATATTTAAAGATTAAACTGATCTCCAAGTACATCGAAATCCAAAAAATATCCACTTGAATGGAGAAGAAATATTTTTAAATAAGATAATGAAATGAAAGTTTTTTAGAAGCTTGTAGGAAATCGTATGGAAAGGTGATAATTATACTTCAAAAGAGTTTCTTTACTCCCAATTCTTTTTGAAAGAGATTTCCTTTTAGCATCCTACGATACATTATACTTACTTAAACAGATGAACCATTTTTTTATTTTTTTTTTTTTTATTTTCTTAAAGTAAAGTGTAAATATTCACAGATTTGAGAGTTATTTATTATTTATTTGACACGTAAAGTGATGACTTATTTTTATTTTAGTTGAATTTTTTATTTGAGTAATTAATATATATATATATATATATATATATATATATATATATATATATATATATATATATATATATATATATATATATATATATATATATATATATATATATATATATATATATATATATATATATATATATATATATATATATATATATATATATATATATATATATATATATATATATATATATATATATATATATATATATATATATATATATATATATATATATATATATATATATATATATATATATATATATATATATATATCTAACATCTTAGAATAAAGCAGTAAAATAGTATAACTAGTCATTTTCTCATAAATTATCGATTCATCTATTGATTTTCTTTTTATAATACATAGAAATAAATTTACGTCTAAAACGTTAATATTAGACGGATTTCGTATGAATTCCCTTTCAACCATCAAAACTTTTACATTATAATGTTTATATTAAATTAAAATAAAATAATTTTCATTAGCATATATATATATATAATGTAAATTATTCATAGTACAATTATAAGATATTTTAACCTCTTTTATGCCAACAAATGCTTATTAAAATTAAATAGGTCGCTGGCTCTAATCAATTTACTATATAGTGAGAAATAATTATGACTGAAAATAACATACGCATATACTTGTAAAGATCGATAGGTTGCTTTAATATGAGTGAAACCTTACTTTGAATCATTTATAAAATATCGACGCGATTTTTCATAGATTATAAAAATTATAAATACTTGAGACTAATATCCCTGTTTTCCCTATTTTTGCCTTTTAATAATTATTGAGAAATTTATAAATTTTTAGTTATATACATATGTAGTTGAAACCAGATTTAATATTCATATTCTTTTATTAAATTAGTTGATTTTTAAATTTTGATATAATTAAATTTCCAAACTTACACGATTGAACAAATTCTTGATAAAACGAGTACCGTATTTTGAATGAACGGTGATACAGTTTACATCATTAGCGCAGTGTAATGAAACTATATTCAACTCTTTAAAAGTATACGATGGAAATTAAATGTAGCTTACACCTGAATAATATTTAATTTCGACTAACTAAAAAGCTTGTAAATTATTCTATTTGATATAAAGTCGGATAATATCTCACGAGAATTTAACATTCACGCTGAATGGCAAAGAATCTCGATTTTTATTGCGACGACGCAGATTATGTCAAAACGTCTTTCACATATAAACTAAATAGTTATTTCTGCTTGAGCCACATGAATTATCTAAGCTCGGTTCATTATTTCTAACCTTTTGACTTTGAGTTAGTTATCCCTTCATACTTGATGCTTCACATAATACGCATTAATCCAACATTGATCTTGTTTTTTTTTTGTTTTGTTTTGTTTACAGAAATCGAAGCTCAGGAAGCGTGCAAGTGGCTGAGAGCTGCCGGCTTCCCTCAGTATGCTCAGATGTACGAAGGTGAGTGAAGTTTTGCATTTGCTTGTTTACCGTAATGAATTGCTAATTACCTCAGACGTTATATATATACAATCCTAAATTTTTATCTGATTTTTTTTATTCGTCGTCTCTTTGTGGCCGTGGAGTCTGCGCACCAGAAATAAATTCGGTGATGCTAGCAAGATGATAAGTAATTTCGTTGAAGGCCATACGGGAAGAAGACTTTTATGTATATTTACGAAGAAATCCGTGGATAATTAATTTGAAACATTGCTTGAAAGGAAAGTAGTTCTTTTCAGACTACATATTTCGAAATCATTATTTTGATTACTTTTCATTTGTCTGTTAATTCAACTCGGATCAGAAAATACACTGCTTGTATAGAAAAAGTTATAGCCGTTTATGTGATATTTATTAGAAAATACAGAATCGTTGCTTTCATTAAATTCATAATATTTTTCATCAATTAAAATATCATAATATAATTCTTTACATAAAACGTGTACTTTACATGATATTCCCAAATAAAGAATCCCAAATAAAATCCTTTTGGATATTTTCAAACATTTACAATAGACATAATTTAGACTTTGATAATTTAGTTGCAATTATTTGAAAATAAACTTTAAGCCCATTAAAATAATCGTAAGATTAAAGTTAATTTTTTTTTTTTTTTTTTTTTGTTATCTGCCCAAGTGTGTGTCGTTAAAATATGAAGTAATTGAAAATCATTTTACAATTAATATCATTGTACGCTATCGACACTCCTTAAATAGATTTTAACATTCGGGAAGTTGTTTGATGGGACTTTCATTTTAAATACAACAGTCGGCTTTTGACTGAAAGACTAAGTCAAGTTTGTCGGTGTTTTAGGGTGTTTCTTTGATGAAATTAGTAAATTTTAGGATGGCCATAGATTCGCCTCTAAGACAGGCGCTCTCTTTTTATTATGAGATTGTCTTGTGCAAGTGATAGTATTATTACTATTTATTTCATTTCATTCGTAACGTTCGCTTTCAGTTTCAATTATGAAAGATATCTTTGTCTTTTATTATGTACAACTATAACTCTCTAAATATTTTAGCGTACATGCCATGTTAAATGGATTGGGTAGAATAAAAATTGGTATGTTACTCAATTTCAGTCTATAATAAGTATTGGTTTTCATTTTTGACAGACACTCGCTTTTACTTTTAAATTTAGAATAATCAATCTTACGTCCTTATCAAAGCCTTTAAAGCAAATACTGCTGTACTTGATTAATTTCATTTTTCGTTTTTAGTTTGTTAGATAGAAGAGAAATTTATTAAAAAAAAATACAGAATTTAAGATTTTAATATTCCAATAAATAATAATAATTAATAACACAAATTATTGGTAGAACTGTTTCAGTATGGGTAAATTTAAGTAAAAATTAAAAAAAATTAAAAAGTGTAAATCTAATAAAAAATATTCTCTTAGTTTCACAACTTTTTATTATTTTATCGTGATTATTTTATTATAATTTTTATTTTATTGGATTTTATGAATTTATAAAATAAAATTAAGATCAAATATAAAAATTGACTATAATCGAAAATTTAGAACTATATACGGGACACGATGATAAATATTAAATACAAAATCTTATAAAAGATGTGCTTTTGAATTAATTATTTTCGCATGAGGAATGATGACCTTCCTACATAGAAGTGTATTCTATGAAATTCATTTCATCCATTTGGGATAACAAAGAACGGCCGTTGAAGTATTGCGTCATAAAGTTCTAAATAATGCTTTTACATTGTCTACGATAATGTCACCTATTCTTAGTTAATCGAAAAATTGATTCATATTATTTTTATAATGAAATTAAAATTAAAATAGCTTTAATTTAACCATTCTGGCTAGAATATAATTTCAATACATTCATTTAGAGTTAAGGATTTGCTATTTAAATTATTTCTTATATAATTAGTAATCCTGCAAGCAATTTAGAGAGCAATTTTGTACAATCTTAAGTTCTTGACAACGTGACACACTTTCTTTATTATTGATGCTTACAGAGAAAACCATGACTTACAAAAAGAGTGTAGATCTTTCTTTTATGTTAGGCAACATTGTATATTATATGGTAACTAGTGATATATATATATATATATATATATACTTGGATAATTTCTGTTATCTTTTATTTCAAGACATATATTTTTTTCGAGACAAGACCATTTTTTAACTACAACATACGTTAATATAGAAAACCTATATATTATTATTATTAATATACGATCAAAAATCACTCATGTAATGGTCTTGATGCGATCCTTTTCATATAACATAAGAAAGCAATTGGTGAAAAATCATGTGAGCATCTTATGTATATGTTTTATACATAGTTATATAAGATTCAACTGGCAGCAAAAAGTTTTCCAGGGGACAATACAATGGTCTATTAATAGAAGGGACGATCGTCGCTATGTTCTTTTTTATTAATACGAACAATACGGTCACTAGCATAATAAAAGTCGCTGTTAAATTGCGAAATGTCGAATATCGATGCTGTCACGATCTTATTGCTGGCTTTGTTTGATTCTTTTCAATACACTTTCAAAGGAATGTGAGTTTTTACTATATGAACTACCTAACAGAATCTAGACAATTTAAAATCGAAATAGAATAGGTCAAGATTAAAAACTTTTTTCTACGACATTAAATATTAATTTAACGCGCTCGTACGTGACTATTGTTTGAAATATTATTGTACAATGTTTAACAAGAATAACTATAGATAAATAGTGAAAAATACTTATTATATGATTACAATTGCCATTTTATTATTTTACCATGATCAATGTTTGTAATTATAAGCTAACTGTTTAAAATTATAATACACTTACATAATAACGATATCATGATCAGAGCAATAACAATGTTCATCAAATATATATATATTTTTTTTTTCAATACAATTGACTATTTAACCTATAATTTATTAATTAAATGGATTGATTAAATTTAAATTTAATCGATATTATTGTTGTATTTTTTGTTGTTATTATGATTGTTTATCATCAAAATTAATGGCCGAGAATCAGTAACAATCCAAGAATGAGCTTGCAACTCAACTGAAATGACCAAAGATAATAAACGACCGACAAATCGATCGCCTCTCATTTTCATATATTTACAGTTAGCTTATAAAGACATAAGCCGTGAAATTGAACGTTACATCATTTCCCAAATGAATCCGAAAGATCGCTTACTCGAAGCATTTAAGAAATCGCTGTCAGATTGATAAAAGCAGCACGCTGTAAGAGAAAAAAAAATATGAAAGCGAACCCAGACTCGTTAATTGCCGATTGTAATGGGCACGCGATCAAGTGCCTAGCAGATCGATTGAAATGTACTGGATCGTGAGAGACTCGTTCTCCACACGAGGATCACAATTGTGCGGTTGGACTTGTGGGTGACTAAACAGAAATAGATCCGGCGTCGTGCAGCGCATCACGGAATTGTGAATGTTTGAGCGACTCGATGTCGTGCTGCGACTCCGAGGCTTTTTTTCCTCTGCGCTTTTTACGTTTAGTGGCACTACGGTTGTGTTTATTGTATATAGCGTTACGTCACGAAGACCCGCGAAACACGTGTTTTCGACGCTATAGCTTTACCCTTTTTCACTAGCCTTATACATCTCTGCCTTGTTATCTTGCATGATGAAAAATGAGATGAAAAATGAGATGAAAAATAAGATGAAAATTAAGATGAAAAATAAGATGAAAAATAGATATATAAAAGAGAGATCATCTTTATCGATGACTAAAGCTATTGTGTTGAAAGATATCCGACTCACATAACTTTACGCGCATCCTTTAACTCCTATTCTCATAAAATTCTTCTCGTAAAAGCCATTCGTTTCATTATTTAATATTTTTTAAGACAATATTTTCTAGGCTGCGTGGGATTTACATGGACATTTAAATTCACTTATATGGCTCTTCATTTTAAACATATTCTTCCTATTATTATACTGAGCGTATTGTGTTTTTGTTCGTATTGGCGAAGTTTTCTCAAAACACTGTATTCTTAATTGGCGGTCATTTAAATAATATTAATTAAACAGCCCTCACAATTATCCTTTGTGAGAGGCTGATTTTCTTTTTGTGATGTAATGAGTAAACAAAACAAGAAGAAAAAAAAAGTAAATATTGTCTCGAATGCGTCGAATCTACTCTATCTAAAATAAGTCCTTGCAATAGTGACATTATAAATGAATTAATAAATATTTTTTATTATTAACTGACACGAACGACAACTTGATTAGCTTACGGCAAATATTATAAAGCTTTTAATTAAATGCATCACTATTGTTCCAAATGTTTTTCTAATTTTATCATTTGAAATTATATTACTATAATGATGCTATAATATTGCTTAAATTACTCATACTGATACGTATGATTGAAGAGATGTCATAATTATTACGAATATTCAAGTACTAGACAAGCGAGTGATTAATGAAAACAATTCTTATTAGTTTTTTTTTTTTTTTTTTTCAAATTGCGAAACACGTATTACCAATAAATCATCATTCGTATTAAAAATACAATTAAGCAGCGATTAAATTTTTAACTAAAATCCGATTTATAAATGTTAGCTTTATAATAAAATTATTAATTGCTAGATGATAATATTGACAGATAGATATTTCTAATAATAAATTATTTGGTAATTTAGTTCAATTTAGTATTTAGATATTTTCACTTCAATTAAAAAAAAATTTTGTCATTTATATGATCGAGATCAATATCCTTTTGCCATCGTTCATATTAATATGGAATATCATTTAATCAGGGGTGAAAGTAATGATAATGAATCGCCTCTGGAACTATTTGTGCTCAATGTTATGTAATAATAGATTGCCATCGAATGCATGTACATTTTTCAAAATCTATTTGATTACATTGGGCTCGCGTATTTATATCGCTCAACATATTATGTTATTTACAGTGCTAAATAAGTAAGTTTAACGATCTTCTATGAAG